GCCGGTCGAAATAATAAGCTTGCTTTAATTTGATTTTAATTGGAGTCAGTGGTCTTTTCTTGCGTCCTGGTCTAACAACCACATAGAAACACACCAGGTATTCTATTGATTTCATGTTGGGAGCATGTTTTTCCCTAGCTCATCCTGGGAATTTCTTCCACCTTTTTCCAAAGTTGGAATTCTTTTCTTCAAATCTCAATCAGGTCTTCCTTTTTTTTCTTGGTTTATTACTTATTTGATAGATATATTCTCCGATTGTCTCTTGAGAAAAAAAAGCATGGTAATAAATTTTTTAAACCTATATGACTTGTTAGAGTCTGTAAACAAATCAAGATAGCGCCTGGCATTTTGCAGAGGGAGTGGTTTATGAAGTAACGCCAGCGAGCCATTAAGTGTGGAGATTCCTTATTGGTTGACTGCTGTATCTAGTTTATGTTAATACCATTAAGTGTGGAGATTCCTTATTGGTTGACTGCTGTATCTAGTTTATGTTAATTAAGATAAGCTGTGTGGAATGTATAAATACCTCTGTTGTCCTACAATAAACAGCTCCTACTCCTGCTGTATCAATCTACACAAGTTGCTCGTCACCCTTCCCCGCCCCCCAGCCCCCCGTTATTTTGCTGCAGCTGGACTGCAGGCAATGACTGAAAATGGTGGATTAGATGACAATAGAATCAATCATCTCGGGGCTGGGGATGTGGCTCAAGTGGTAGTGCACTCGCCTGGCATGCGTGCGGCCCAGGATCGATTCTCAGCACCACATACCAACAAAGATGTTGTGTCCTCCAAGAACTAAAAAATAAATATTAAAATTTTAAAAAAAGAATCAATCATCTTAATTTTCAAGAAAATTATTATAAAAACATTCAAATAAAATGAAAGTAGAGGACTGGGGCTGTAGCTCAGTGGCAGAGAGCTTGAGGCATGAGGCACTGGGTTCAATTCTCAGCACCATATGAAAATAAATAAATAAAATAAAGGCAATTAGAACTATAAAAAATTTTAAATGAAAGTAGAAAGCTAATACAAAGAAAACCTATGTATTCATCCCTGAGATACAATAATTAAAAGTTTTCCATATTTACTTTTTCCATTCTTTTGTATTTTTATTTTTTCTTTTCTTTTTTCCTGAAATATTTCAAAGCAAATTCAAGATATCTTGCTATTTCACCTTTTAAAGATACATTTTTAAATATGGTCATTTTTTTTTCACTTAACCACGGTGCCTTTAGTACAT